CAGACATTTTGTGTGTGTAAGGGTGATTTGAGTTATTATGTATTATTGTTTCCATGTGTGAGGGTTTATGGTAAATGGAAAAATCTAACTTGTTCTGTAGTATAGTTATAGTTAGGTCCAGAAAGTTTAGAGAGTTATCTTGTTCCGTCTCCATGGTAAATTTTATGCGGTTATTAATCAAGTTATTATGATTCAAAAAGGACTGCAGTTGTCTTTCTGTTTCAGTGAAACAAGCAAAAACATCATCTACGTATTTCATATGATTCAAAAAGACGGAAATGGGCTTTCCGTTCCAGTGAAACAAGCAAAAACATCATCTACGTATCTATACCACCAGAGAAATCCTTTACTCAGAGGATGTTTATGTATGGTATTTTCTAAATTCTCCATGAAAGTTTCTGCAAGTAGTGGACTAAATGGGTTTCCCATAATTAACCCTTCTTTAGCAATATAAAATTGACTATTAAATTCAAAATAATTTTGGTCTAAACAAACTTTTAAACTTCTTGTTTTATGATAGCGTTAACTTGTCTCAGCTTGAGAATATTGTCTATTATGTTTATTACGTCAATTGGTGGAATGCTAGGAAATAAGTTTTGAACATCAAATGAAACTAGAATTGCTTTAGGAGGAATTTTTCGTTTTTTAACCTTGTTTTGATAGCATATCTAGGTTTAAAGGCAGTGCTGTTACAAAAGAAACTACAGGCCTTATTGGCATAAGCTGTTTGTGTAATTAAATTAAAGAATACAACTTTGGAGGTTGAGGGTTCATGATTATTAGTTGGTATTTATCCTAATCATTAAAAGGTGAGGAAACGGTAATTACTGTTTTGCTTTTGATTTTGATTTTTTTTTTCGTTTGGTTTTTGTAATATATTCTAGAGAATCGATAACAATAACTGTCTTTCCTTTATCTGCTCTTGTAAATACTACATTATTTTGGGAACCCTTATTTTTAATTGATTTTACCATAGACATATGTAAATAATCCCTGAATTTGCTGATAGTATTAAGTTGAGATTTTATTAAATTAGCTAATTTTAATTGCTCATTTAATTGCTAATTTAATTTGTTTACGATATTGTCATTGTGACCGTTAATAGCACATTCACAATCGGAATATAGTCATATTTTGTATTTGATAAAGGCATGGTGTTGCTGAAACAGTTGCCATAAAGTATTAAAAACTGTGAAAGTCTGAAAATTTGTTGTTCTAATTTAATTTGTATTAAGGGAATATCTTCGACTGACTTCCTCACGAATGTCTAACGACTTACGTGCTGTAAGACCTCCTTCATAAATTCGGTACGCTATTCGTTGTCTCGAGATAAAACAGGAAACCCCAACCCTTAAGCAGCCCTTATTAGGTCCCTTCAAAAATGAAATGCTGATTTTCTGTAGACCAGTTCCTCGTGCTATATCTATCAAAAATTCCCGAAGTTCAAAAGTAACATTCGGCGGACAATATTACAAACCTTCCATCCTGTTCCTTCATTCGTATTTGTTGCAAATACCAGTGGCAAAACTGCGTTCGACGCTCGGTATCACCATAATGCAAATTTTGAACACTCTTAAACTTTTATAGATGGTATTTGTATTTTTTTTTTATTTCTCTGGGCATTCGATTTTGGTACGTCTACTGCTTGCTCTAAGTGTTTGCAAGATGATGACGGAATTGCTTCTATGTAACCTAATACATTATTTTCTCTTTACTTTTATTCGCCTTTAAACAATTTTTAGGAGGTGGTCGAATAATGGATCCGTGCCTAACTAGATTTATTTTCAGTCGAACAAATATATCTGAAAACGGTTGTCGTCTCTCTGGATATCTAATATAAACAATATGCATTTCTATAATATAATTCCGAAAATTCTTCGGCATTTTCATTGCATTGTATAAAACATACCAACATAACATAATTTTCAGATTTACTGCCATTATTATAGAAAATTAATTGAAATGATATAAACACAGAAAGAACAAATGTATAGGTCATAAAAATATAATTAAAACTGACTGCTAAGTTTTTGACACATTTGTTTTTTTGTTTTTATTAGATGGGTCATAACCGACTATCTACTTAATACTATAATAATATAATATTTATCATATTAAGAGAGACATTATTATTTTACAAATATATGTTTTTATCCTATTTTTTTGAAATTAAGTAGAGTCTTTTGTATAGTAATAACTGCTCAGATGTATTTAATTTTTAGTTGATTTAGTTGATTTACAAATAAAGTAAAAAATAAAAATTAATAAATTTTGAGCTTAATTTTCAAAACAAAATTTGTCCTAATATATATTTCTGAAATGCTTAAATAATTTCCAATTAATGTAAAAAAATAATAAACAGTACATTCTGGATTTCACCCTGTCCCGCAAAAACCAAAGTAGCACAGTGTCGCGCAACTTTCTATATTTAAAAATAACTTTATGGGGTAAAACTACGAAAAAATGGTATACCCGGCACACCACCCGATTCGACAGAAACTTTTTTCTTTGCAATTTGGCTAACTTTTCTTTGTTCACTTTTTTTGTGTCCTCAAGTTAGTTGAGTGAAAGGGATTTTGTTAATTGTGTTACATATTTTGGTAGCTGCTGGTAATTGGGGAATATTGAGTGAAGGATTTGTTGAACTGAAAACTTGAAATTTTTCTGTCATGGTTTTGGAATATAAAAATTTCTGCGTTATTCGATCTTTCAAAGTTATTTTTGATACCTTCGAATTCAAGTGTACCTATGGATTTATAGATTTGTTTTGGAGATTCTGACCTTACTCCTATCTCCTTCTGGCTTCCTCGAATATTGTTCAAGTGTTAACGTTTTTTACTTTTACAGGTTTAAGTAGAATATATCTTTCTACTGCTTAGTTCAAAGCTTCTAAAATTTGTTTGACCTAAGTTGTATGGTTGTTTTAAGCTGCCTGATGAAAATTTCGCGTGTTTGGTTATGCTGGGAGTTTTAATTGCGTTTCATCCGTGATAACAATATAATCACCGCATCCAACAGGTGGTTCTGATCGCAAATCAAAAATAATTTTGCACCATTGCATAAAAATCAGTCCAAAACAGAGCTTTGGGTGTTTCTATATCCGGTAGGAAAGCTGACCATTTGGGGACAGAAATACATACAGTTCTGTGGATATACCATTAGGTTATAGTACGTTATGTTTGGGTAGTTGAAATCTCGAAACAAAAAAGTTGGGTTTTTGGTTGTAAATGCTTTGATTGGTGTGCTGATCATGTGACTATTTACTTGCTCAGTTGTGGTAGAGCCTGCTCTATAAATACATGCAAATATGATGTGAAATATATTTGCAGAGCAGCCATAATGAGGTAACAGGTGGTTCAACATTGTATTATTATTATTATTATTATGACCGTTCATATATAAAGTTTTGAATAGAAATCAGTCCGTTTTTGGGTTAAATATACCGGGTCAGATCAAAATGTTAATAATTGGCAAACTTTATTTTTTAATTTGAATAGCTGAGAATCTCACTGGACTTCCCAATTCAAATATACTGAGGCCACATGAGATACTTATTCTTATTACTATAAATAACACCACTAAACTTTCAACGGAATACTTGCCTGCAAAAGAATGTTGAAAACATTAATGAAAAAACTTTTTTAAAGAAGAAACGAGATTTTATTACACATGTTTATTAGACAGTTTAAATTTGGAAAAAGTTCATTTAAAAATCAGGTATTGGATTTTAAGAAGAATGTTCCCATGCGTCCATCATATTTTTTTTGCGCATTTTTCTCTGTGAATATAGAAATGTCAAAAAGTAGATGTGGATGTCAAGTGTTACATGTCTTATTTTAAATCTGTTTCTGAATTCTGGATCTCATTTCAACGATAATTCATTTTTATGAGCAACAGTATAAAAAAAGAAATTTAATTTTGAAATGAACAGGCATTTCTTCCCTCAGTAAAGAAAATGAATACGGCGTATCTAAATAAAGCTCAGATAACTACAATTTTTATTTTAATTGAATAAGGGGGCCAAACTCAAGAAGAAGTTTGTAATTAGTTTAATGCTAAATATCCAGAAACATCCAATACAAGATTCACAGGAAGTAAAGTTGAAAGAAAGTTTTATAGAAACAGGGCAGGTCAGAGAAATTATTGTGTTGCAAAATGTCTACTTTTAACTATTTGACAATAAGCAAAACATTGCTTAAGATATCTTAATTAGTTGTAATTCGTATCTAATTCCAAAATTTTAAATCACCTACATTTTGTGTTTCTTTTAAACATTTCCCCAGAGAAAAAAATCCAGAGGAGTAGTATTATATTGTATTGTAGGGCGAAATATGGAAAATGTTTTAAAAAAACTGTATTCCATTTAAAAAAAAGGAATTGGTATCGAGGTTTACTTTTCGGCCCACCCTGCACATTTTCTGTTTGCAGTAAAAAATGCTCAAGAAAAAAATATCTCATTCGCTGTATAAATTTCTGAGTACCGTCCTTAGCATAAGTATACAGGGTCGTCAAAAAGTTTATGTTTCCTTCTTGCTTAAGAAAAAAATATCTCATTCGCTGTATAAATTTCTGAGTACCGTCCTTAGCATAAGTATACAGGGTCGTCAAAAAGTTTATGTTTCCTACTTCATTTTTAAATTGGAACAAAGTGAATCCCACTGGATTAACTAATTCAAATATACTGAGGATACACGAGGGACTTATTACTATAACTAACAATAACAAATGTTCAAAATATTTAAATCAATAATTACAAAACCTTTTTAAAAAACAAAAGACGACTCGTATCTTGAAAAAAATATTAATGTGCCCCATAATCAAGTGCATATCTTTTAGGAACTCCCCGTATGAAATCAACATTAGGGAAAAAATTAATTGAACAAGGAATTTTTAAAATGACTTCCATTTTTTCCGGAATAGAATATATACAATACGTTTTAGTGTTACGGGATGTTAAGGTCAAGGAGTCAAATAAAATCAACACCGCTTCTAAAGGCTCTTTTTTATTTAATTATATAAATTACAAAATGGTCAACAACAATATGTTTCTACAGTGTTTTTAAATTACCTAAACAATACAATACAGGTTGATAAAATCGTGTTTATCAATATTGTGCCTATATACACAATTACGGAAAATATAATTAAGTACATCTTGGTAAATCGGAAAATCCGGGAGTTTTTCAAAAACTTAATTATTTAAGTTGCTGCTCATTTCGAGACGTTTATTTCACTGGGAACAATTATGGATAGAGAGATAGATAGATAAGGGTTAGGGTTAAAAGGAGATATGGTCAAAAACAAAAGTCAGGTCTCTAGTAGGTTAACAAATGAAATGTCGTAGAAAATGGCTAATTGTCATAAACATAACGGACCAAACAATAACAAAAAATACTGGTCGTTAGAAAATGCAAATAAATTGCTAAGGTATCTGGGGTGTTTCTAATTAAAAGCAATCATTACGTTAAGCGATGTTTAGTCAACTCACAATTGAAAAATCATTTAAAAAAAAACAGGTACGCACAAATCAGTATTGGCCGTTCTACTAACAATGCGTTAACTTAAACTTGGTTTAAAAATATCAAAGGGCAATCGATTTTAATTGGACAATCTACTTATTTAAAAATTTCAGTCAGGGAGAAATGGAAGTAAATTTTTCACATTTCAAAGAACTGATGCAAAATAAATAATTATTATTATTATAAATTATTTGTTTTATTATTTTCATCAAGTAAAAGCCACCTCAGTTCAATTTTTAAAAGTTGATGTTGAAGTTACCATGAAAAAAAAGAAATATCTGCCGCTTTTCTGTTTGACTTAATAATATATAACCAGTATATTAGAAAACAATCATAACCGTTCCTCGAAAATATTTTGCAGTCGAAAAAATTGGGATGCGACCTTAACCCCGGTAGATCAAAATGTATGCGGCTAACATGCCAAAATCTAAACTGTGACTCTTTTAAAACTCTAGCGCAAGGTTCAGTAATGGGTAGAATTATGTTCTCTGACTTTTTAAAGATTTTGTGAAAATGGACATCTCGCATTTTGTCTGGTAACGAGACTTAAACTCACACCTTACATTAAATATGTTTTTGTATATTTTGAGAGGAAAAATAAATTATAAGTATCCCTTAGAAAATATCTGAGTCTCGAGCGTAAGGGTTATGACATTTGAATTTCATCTCCTGGAGTGTAAGTTTCTTAAAAATTATGTATTCACATGGTGCTTATACATACGTATATGTATATTACAAAACCGAAAAATAAACATTTTTTTAAATCAACGTGTCAAATATTTGTACATTTTTTACAAAAAAATCTTAAGGTCCTTATAAAAACACGAAACTTTTCTTGTTAATAGTATTTTTATTATGTTATACAGTGTGTCTAGTTGAATTGGCATTCCAACGTGAATTGTTTCTGAGCAATTCGAGAAAATATAAAAAGCAGAATTTTCTATCTTTGTCTGTAAGGCTCAGCATACGCCAAAACATTATTAAAACACTGTTTTAGGAAGAACGAAACCCGATTTTTTTTTATTTCTTTTCGGGATATACCAAGGATTTTTAAATTTTCTTACGGGCGTAAAGATTTGACTTTTCTATAGTAGGCCATTATCGCCCTCAAGAGACATTCGGAAAAACAAAAGTTTTGACAGTCCATTGTTCGTAAACCCTATATTCGATGGTGTAGTGATCTAAATTTTCAGCCTTTGCTTCTACAATTCACTCACTAACCTGCACTTTGCCCCATTTTCCGCGATTTCCGCACTCTTAACACTGAACTAGCATTATGTTTATTATTTGTCTAAAATTGAAAAGGCAATAACGTAAAAAAAATAAAAAATTTTAGTTACTGATGTAGAGCCTTCTATTACAGCTAACAATACATTATTTTTGGTTTTCTCATTGCGTGGCTTATTTATTTTTTTGGAATTGAGCTATACTATAACCAATGAACCAACCAAAACTTGTAAAAAAAATCTTCTCATTTGAATGTAATCTCTCTCAATTTTTTTTTCATAGTTGCTTATCGGCATAGGCAGGACCTCTATATCTCTAAGGGCCGTATGGAATACACTGACTCAGCATAAAGTTTATTGTTTGATAACGTAAAAAATTTTAAAGAAAATTTCTTTACTTACCAAGTAACCAAAACTTATCAACTTCCAAAAATCTTTTTATTTCATGGTAATCTTTTAGGGTAAGTAACTAAATATATCTGCCCAGCTTCTCGTAACAATCCACGTATCTAATTAATTTCTGTATTTTAATTGTAGTTAAGCTGTCAATCAAACTAATAATCAATTTTTTTATTTGTAACGATAATTTAATTGTCAAAACGTTTAATTTAAATGAACTGCGAAAAAATAATAAATGATAAATGATGATAATTTTTTATACTTTCTACGATCATGTTTTTTTTATTTTGGGCTTTACAGCAAAAAATTGACAATGCAACTTTTCATATTTTCTCGTAGTTCACAGCAACGATTCAAGATGAAATCGTTCGAAATTCTTTAAAATTTTTCTGATTTAATCTATCGTTTTCGATATTCCCATGCTTACATTGAGCAGGCTGTATATTATATTACGTCATAACATTTTTGCTTGAGTTTCAGTTGTTTTCCAAAAAGTACATCAAAAAGGGAAACTTAAACACAAGTGCATATTGCGTCGGTGCGTCGGTTGTTGATAAATCGAACTTGCTGACGTTTCGCTAATAATCCTGTTGGCTTCCTCAGAGCTTAACTGAAACTGTTCTGAAAAAGTCAACAGGATGATTGGTGAAACGTCTGCAAGTTCGACTCAACAACAACCGACGCAGAAGAAATTCAGAAGTTTTGTAAATAGTGCTAAAGTAGCCTGTAGAAGTTTATTTAAAAAAAAAGTGCATTTTCTCCCCGCCGGACCACCAATAATTTCCACATAACAAGGCTGACGACCTATGTTTAAACAAATCGTAAACTACAATACTTTATCGGAAACAAACCGTTCGCAAAATTGCAAACCCAAATTCCAAATTTACTTCAGACCACTTGTATCGTGTGATTCAAGTTCTTCACGTCGCCGTTTAGCAAGGGGGCGCTCTCGTCGGCATCCGTTACGATCACGGGAGGAATCTTGATTTCTAGAAAACTCTTCTGCTCGTCGCGATTGTGAGCCGCTTTTTTGTAATTCGTTTGCTGCGCTACGTCTCCGTTCGCGAGAGGTTTGCCATCAGTTTCGTCTAAGGAACGCGCCCTGCCATTGGCTAATGCGTTGGTAGTCTGAGGTTTCGTCGTCGCGACAGGAGTGGGAGGGGGAATCTTCATTTCTATATAACTCGTACAACTAGCGCTATCGTCTTCTTTGATGTGAGGCATGGCCTTCATATCGAAATGGCTATCGATCCTGCTCATTTTCATATCCGAATGGCTGTCGTTGCGATGCGGGATTTTCATTTCGATGTGGCCGTCGTCAATGAACATGGAATCGATGCTGGAAAGGCTGTCGGTCGAATGGGTTCTTACTGATGGAAACAGACCCGATCGGACGCGATCTGAAAATGATTATAAATTTGCAGTACGAGCATGAAATGGTAACAGTTTATATTGGTCATGTTGGATAGCACGTGAAAAGTTGGGAAAGCAGCTAGATATAAAGATGTACAGGGTGGGCACTATATTAGGAACTACTGATTTTAGAAAAAAAAGTTTATACCAAAGTTTTACTGTTTAAATTAAATTTTAAAAGAATTTATTTTTATATATACCGGGTTCCGATAAGTTCTGGACCGACGTTGGTTGGTTTTAAAATTTCAAATGGAACACCCAAAAATAAACGTAAATTTTTTAGAAACTACTTTTGAGATTATATATATTTTTTATGCAAAATTATGTTCTTTGTAAATATGGTCTTCCACGGCTGGCAGTAATGACAACTTGACCAAATTTAAAGCACATTTTTAGAAGACTTCCTTCTGGCGACCTGCGATGACTATGTATTTTAAAATTATACAGGCTGTCTTATACATACCTAAATCTAATGGTTTTCGAAATACTGCAATGGGTGATGGGTCTTTTTTGTAGGTAAGGTATTACAGAGATTTATAGGTTTGGAAAATTAAAACGTCACCATTTTTTATACCGTCAACGAAGTAAAACAATATGCATATAAGTTTAGAAATTTAAAACAAGTAACAGTAACAAGTAAGAGCAACAAACAATAGTAACTGTAACAATTAAATTAAAAATTAAGGTAAAACAAAATCTACAGTAGGTTTTCAACATGTCCAACATTTTGAATAATGCAGGTTGTATATACAACCTCTATATGATTTATAGCATTAGAAACAAAATCGGTGTTATTCAGTTCGACTACAGCTTCTCTAATACACCTTTGTAGTTCATTTACCGTAGTGCATCTTTCTTTATATACCATATCTTTAATTGTTCCCGATAAAAAAAGGGTAAGATCTGGACTTCGAGGTTTCCACTAGATTTTGTCCGATCCAAAGATTGTAAGTTTCATTTAAAAATTCAGTGATATCGTTTCCCCGGTTGCACGGAGCGCTATCTTGCTGCCATATTAATTGAGCACGTTCACAAGCCGGTATTTCATTTCTAAGCATATTTAAATATCGTCTAGAGTTTAAGTTTTCATTAAAGAAAATTGCCCCTATAACCTTTGCTCGATATATTCCGCATCACAATTTCACACATCGTCTACCTTATCGTTTTACGTCCCACACTCAAAATTATGAAAAATCAATTCATCGGTCCAAATTATTTGACGCCAGGCGTTATCAGCGAAACGCATGTCCATTAAAATATTGCAGTAGTGTGATCTTGCGTCATAGTCCCGTTCCTCTAGGTATTGCACGGGTAAAAACTGAAATGCTTTTCGCTTATTTCAATTTAGACAATTTCTGACGCTAGTTCTTTTAACACCCAACTCCAACGCGGCTTGACGAGTGGAGGATTCTGGTATATTCTCAAAATGTAGGAGTATATCCAACTGCTTCTTCTCTGTTAGAACTTGTCGTGACCTTTTCTTGGACGTCGACAGAAGGCTGCCATTTTGCCTAAACTTTGCATAAATTTTTCAAAATAACTTCTTCTCTGGAATTCGCCTTACAGGAATGGCTGTGAAGTTGTAGCCCGCGTTCCTCGCCGAGGGATTCCCTTCTACCCCTAGTCCAACCACTAGCTCTGCCCGACAGCTGCCGCGCCTGCCACCTCATAGACGCGCGGCGTGGAGAACGGAGTTCACCATTTTATAGAAAAACAGTATATATTTTCTAAAATATTCTTCAGACTCATATTCAGATACGAATATTAAATTTTTAATGCTAATTCATTCTAGTATATCTGAAAAAAATTCTTACATCCAATATCTTTTTAGAAACTTTTTCGAAAAAGAGAAAATATTTTGTTAGATAGGTTCCGGTCTATGTACAACGATTGCGTTGTTATTACTAACGTACAATCACAAAAGGGATATTTCATCAAAATTTGATTAAAGCAACTTGGGGATTAGGGGTTGAAATAAGCAAAAACTGATTTGTGGGAAACAGATAATAATTTTTTTAGATATTTTCCGGTCCATGTGCAGTACCTGCGTAGATCGAGTGCTTATTTCAACCTCTTATCCCCAAGTTACTTTATTCAAATTTTGTGATCGTACGCTAGTGGTATCAACATAATCGCTGCTCATTGACCGGAACGTATGTAAAAAAATTAATTTCTGTTTCTTCAAAATTTGTTTTTTGCTTATTTCAACCGCTAATACCCAAGTTGTTTTAGTGAAATTTTGAAAAAATATCCCTTTTGTGATTATATGTTAGTGGTATCAACATAATCGCTGCACATAGACCCGGAACGTATCTAAAAAAAATATTTTCTGTTTCCTCAAAATCCGCTTTTTGCTGATTCCAACCCTTAATCCCCAAGTTAGTGCTATCAGCACACTCGCTGCACATAGACCGGAACGTATGTAAAAAAAATAATTTCTGTTTCCCCAAAATCCGTTTTTTGCGAATTCCTAAGTTGCTTTATTCAAATTTTGATGAAATATTCCTTCTGTGACTGTACGTTAGTGATATCAACACAATCGCTGCACATAGACCCGAACGTATTTAAAAGAATTAATTTCTGTTTTTTTAAAATCCGTTTTTTACTTATTTCAACTCCTAATCCCCAAGTTGCTCTATTCAAATTTTGATGAAATATCCCCTTTAGTGGTATCAACATAATCGCTGCACATAGACCGGAACCTATCTAAAACAATATATATATATATATATATATATATATATATATATATATATATATATATATATATATATATATATATGATGACACTATATTCCGGGATATTATGCGTTCGCTCGTTGAACTCCGACTGGAATCCTGCAAATCCTGCATCCGACTGGAATCCTGCAGACGTTTCGCCAAAATCTCACTTGGCATCTTCAATGCTCGCGCTCCGAAAACACTTCGAACACTTGTTCACAGTGTTCGAGTCGGAGTTCAACGAGCGAACGGATGATATCCCGGAATATAGTGTCATCACATTTTTCCATCCGTGAATCAATACGTGAGAATATATATATATATATATATATATATATATATATATATATATATATATATATATATATATATATATATATATATATATATATATATATATATATATCATCCGTACGCTCGTTGAACTCCGACTGGAATCCTGCATCCGACTGGAATTCTGCAAATCCTGCATCCGACTGGAATCCTGCAGACGTTTCGCCAAAATCTCACTTGGCATCTTCAATGCTCGCGCTCCGAAAACACAACAGTGTTTTCGGAGCGCGAGCATTGAAGATGCCAAGTGAGATTTTGGCGAAACGTCTGCAGGATTCCAGTCGGATGCAGGATTTGCAGAATTCCAGTCGGATGCAGGATTCCAGTCGGAGTTCAACGAGCGAACGGATGATATCCCGGAGTATAGTGTCATCACATTTTTCCATCCGTGAATCAATACGTGAGAATATATATATATATATATATATATATATATATATATATATATATATATATATATATATATATATATATATATATATATATATATATATATATATATATGTATATAATCTGAAGAATATTTTAGAAAATATATACTGTTTTTCGCCAGAGCTGGACTTTTCGAATTCGATAAAAAACATTCAAACATATCGGTTTCTCGCACCGTATGCATTTTTAACTTAAGTAATAATAATATTGCTTGATTAAAATCATATGTGTCAAACTCTGACTCTTAATTATAACGTCACTTAAAACAATTAGAAAAATAGGTTTCATATTTTATTATGTCTTTTAAAAAAAAATGGATTTTTTTTCTATTAATAAAAACTTTATTTAAATATGTTATGTTATGTTATATGTAGTAAATTGTCCCATCATTCGTTGAAACAATCATTAAAATTAAATAAAATATAAGAAAGATATACCATTATAAAATTCTTTAAAATAATTAGTTGTCAGTATTTCTCGCCAGCGAGGTTATTCCTAAAAATTTCGAAAACCATTAGATCTAGGTATAGGACAAAAAGAATAATTGAATTCTGCAAGTTGAAATTTTTAAAAAAGTGCTTTAATTTAAGACACCCTGTACGATTTTAAAATACCTAGTCATCGCAGATCGTTAGAAGGAAGTCTTCTAAAAATGTGTTTAAAATATCATCTACTAAGAAGATAATTTTGCATAAAAAAATATATAATCTCAATTGTCTAAACTAATATTCGAATACGTAGTTTCTATAAAAGTTTTTTCTAAAAATATCAAAATATATAGAGTTTTTCATTTAAATTTTTAAAACCAATGTCGGTCCAGCACTTACCGGACATCGTGTAAAAAATAAATAATTTTAAACTTTAATTTAAACTATAAAACTTTTTTATAAACTTTTTTCTTCTAAAATCAGTAGTTTTTGAGAAAATGTACATGCCCCTAATAAATTGCCCACCCCGTATTTTCTCGCGCTAAAAGAAATAGCACTAAATCTACAAATATTAAGTACAAAGTGTTATAAAATAATAAATAGAATTACAAAAATTTAAAAAAATAATTTGGATCCATCACAATTATTTATAAATATAAAATATACAAGGCGAGGTAAAAAGTATATATCATTGTTGCTGATGAGTTTATTTCTTGTAGTCTTAAGGCTCTTTCATTTTCTTTTAGCCTACCTTTTTTTCGTATTGTTTCTCCAATATATTGTTTGCGGCATGTGCATGGAATTCAGTCGGATCGAAGATGTTGACAGAGACAGATTTTTGGACAATTGGTAAATCTGGTTCTAAAGATATATTTCTTAAGAACTTTTGATATGCGGGCAGTGATGTTTTGAATGTAAGAAAGGTCAACAGTGACAAGTGTGAGGTTGCTATCGGACTCATTATATTTAGAAGCGTGTATTGAAGTATATTTTGTAATGAATTTTTTGAATGAATTGAGGAAATTATTAGAGAGGAGAGCAGAATCCATGGAAATTTATGAATAACCATATAATTTAAACAGCGACCTGTAAAGGAAACAGTCGTCCGTTATTCATGCCCCCTCAAACAGTATATAAACAGGTACAGAGTAGAATGCGAACTAGATTCAGTTAAGTTCTGAAGAAGCCAAGAAGATGATTGATGAACGTTCAACAACAACCGACGCGGGCGGAACAGTTTTGTAAATAGTATTACAATTGCACGCGGAAGTTATTTTTTCAAAAAATTAAGCTAGCCTGTTGATTTATTACACTGTACTGTTGACTAGCTCAACAGAAGAAATAACTAAAATTATTAGTTTAAATTTTTTTCAAGTTTCTTACTTTTACTAACACTTCTTTTACGAATTAAGGAAACTGTTTGAAATTTGAAAACCAAAAACAACACAAATCTAGGAAGATCATCGAAATATTATTATATAAAATTAAAGGAAAATTAAGATGTTAGAGTGCATTCGATGGGACTGTGGAATTATATTGGGAAGAATGTAATAATATAAGCCAAAATAAAATTAAGCGTAAAGCGCTACTGGTCCACTAATCTTACCGGGTTCTTTTATGGTCAAAAATTTCGAATCTTCTTCTGCAAGGAAAACATTAACTTGTTACTAGTGGACTTTTCACGAAATATTTTGGTGAAAGTTTTTTCATTTATCTAAAACTTACCCAAGCCATCGTTGTTGAATAGAGCTCTGTGTTCGTCCAACTGTCTGGCGCTGCAAAGCGGTGTGTCGACCTCCACTGTGTTGTTGAACAGCGCGTAATCAACTTCGTATTCGCCAGAGTCTTTCTTAAAAGTAATTAACGATTTAAATCGATGACCCCATAAAATCTCCGAGGGTAAGTAACTAGATCTTGCTTGCGTAGTCATTCCCGTCGATTCTATTACACCTTCTGCAAGAAAAATGTGAAAAAGTATATAGTATTTGTCAAAAATCGATCGGATAATTTCTAGGGACAAGAACGTTAAAAAATTACGTGAGTTTGGCTAAAATACACGTGTCCGAAAAAGCCTTCTTCAGAAAAAGAAGCCCCAAGAATCTTTCATTATATCTGAAACGGATTAAAGTTTTCAATGTTTTTCGTTCATAGTTGTTTCTGGAACACTGTTACCTTAGATCACATGTGGAAAGTACTTAAAATAATGTATTAATTCATGCTAAGACTTTCAAGTTTTATCAAAAAGTATTTATTTATTTATCAAAATTAATGTTGTTCCCTCCATAATAATCCCCCCCCCCCCCCCTCACCAAATCTAATACACTTGTGGCAACGTTTTTTGCAATCTTCCAAGCTCTTCTGGTAAGTACTTTTTGATATAGCATTGAGTTCTTCCAGCGATTTTTTCTTTATTTCCTCAATCGTTCTAAACCTCCTTCCTTTCATGGATTTTTTGGGAACAGGAAAAGTCGCACGGGGCAATGTTCGGTAAAAAGAGTGGCTGAGGCATGATTGTGGTTTTGTTTTTGGCCAAAAAGTTAGACACAAACAACGGAGAAAGAGCATGAATTATTTTGTCACAATTCCGGAAGCTTACTTCGTAATGCTTTTCGCAAACGGCGCCAAGGTAATACTCATTATTGACCGTACGGCCTTGTGGTAAGAAGTCTTGATGTACTACGCCGCGATAATCAAAGAAAACAATAAGCAAAACCTTGACATTTGATCGAACTTGAGGTTTCTTCGGTCTTGGCGATTCTGGGTTCTTCCACTAGGACGACTGAGCTTTGGTTTCGAAGTCCATGAAGCCCATGATTTGTCACCAGTTATGACCTTTCAGTAACGCCGTTTATCGGCTCTTTCGACCGCCTTTTTGTTCAAAATTAAGTAGTTTCTGAACAAATTTTGCTGCTACATGTTTCATGCTCAAAACTTAAAAAAAAAATAGCATGGCATGAGCCAATAGAGAGCCACTTCTCTAATAGTCTCTAATTTTTTTTATTCAACACTACACTAACTATACTAACACTATATGCCGTTGTCAACATTTCAACTATTTTGCAGTACTCCATCCCATTTTTTACACAAAATTTTAGGCAAATTCTTTGTTCCAGAAAATCGCCGGGCACGTAAAACGCGTCCAACATGTCACAAAAAAAGTAAACGTGCAAACTGAACAGAAAAAAATATCGAAGATCGAATATACGTAGCCCGCCCAATTACAAAAGTCACCTTACTTTTTGAATACACCTCGTAATTTGAAGACCAGTGTATTTTTTTTACATTTAATAGGAAAAACTATTTAATAAATATTATTTTTGCCTAAAAGATTAAAAGTACCATCACTCTGAGGACAAACTAAGTGAGTACCCCCTTTATGGACTCTCTTGCACAAACTGTAAAAATTTTATCAGCGGTAACTTTTATGATCCAAGATCAATGGTATATGTGGCCTAAATTTCATTTAGGTATCTTATACCATTTCAGAAATTATTAAAAAATGATGTTTTTGGACTCTTTAAGTCAAATTTTCCGAAGGAGTTATTTCCAGATATAATTTTATTAACCAAACTAACGCCTTGTATAACACTAGATTTAAATAAACCGCAGATATTTCTCTTTTTTAAATAGAAGCGAAGTCAGTATTGAAATCTGAAAAGCGCGGATTGATGCTCAAATAATGAAAAAAAAAAACAGAAGTTTACGTCGAAAACAACTAATATTCAATCAACTGTACACTTACTTTATATTTTGCACCATTTCTACAGCCCATTCTTGAAGACTTAGATACAAAACTTAAAATTGTATCTTTATGTATAAATCTATTATTTTTGGTAATTGTAGACTAGAAAAAAATGGGTTGCAAAATCTAGTCTGTTTATATTAACAATGAGGTAACAAACTATGTGAACGAACGTATTAAGATTATCAGATGAGGGGTTATTCGATGGCCAGCGAATAGTCCCGACCTCAATCCACTAGACATATTTCTAAGGGCCTATTTTAAAAATAAAGTGTATTATCAACGACCAGTAAATCTGGAAGATCTGAGTCTGAAAATATAAAAGGTAATATCCGGTAGACAATTTTTAAGGAATAATCAGACTCCTATCGTATATGAGGAGCATATGAAAAAAATAAATAAAATGCATGAAACTATAAAATTAAATTATGAGAAATATTATAGTTTTTGTTATATTGTGTTAATCTAAATGATTAAAGAATCGGCCAGCGGAATACTAACTTTATTTAAGTTTTAGTAATTTCACTTAAAATTTAAACCTGAATATTAAAAAAAAAGGTTAAAGATAGTAAGGCAATATTCAAATATACTTGGTTTTACATTTAAAACAATGCAAGTTATATCATTTTGATAGATTTGCAATTTTTTTTCATTCTTTTCATACAGCCAGTAAATAGGTTTGGTACTTCACATATTATTGTTTGTTATTATAGTTTGCCTAAAGATAAAAAAGAATAAGTTTAATGATGCCTAAATCTTAAAATATTTCGAATTTTGTCGAAATACTTCCACTAAAGTGTAACAATAAACGATATCTTATTTCTCAACTATAAAAAAATACCATTTTATAAAAAATGCCAAAAAATTCAAAGCTAATAAGAATTTGTAACGTGCATGCAATAAAAATATGAAGAAACAACATTGTGTTAAAAACCGCAATTAAGATATGCATAAGATAGGAATGATAATTATAAAATATGGTTTATTTTTACGCTTTACTGCAAATTTCTCTTATAGCAGTTAAAAACTTTTAAGAACTAGACTGAGGTGGCTTTTACTTGATGAAAATCCATTTAACACGAATCAATTTAGAACAAAAAATATTCAGATTTTCATAGTTTTTAATGCGGGAAGCGACATTTTACCACGTCAATTTCGTTTCCCACGGATCCGAGCCACTTCGGACATTTCCGGGATTTTACCGCACGGGTATGGGAGAAATCGGATATTTTCGAAGATATTTCCCACTCTTTGAATTTGGATGTTTGTCAATTCTGACGGTCATGTCAGAATTGACAATGTATTCGTGTTGTTTTGCGTAAATGTACGCAAAAACTAACGGTCGTAGAAAAAGTATAGTATGCAACACGTTCGGTAAACTTTTTAAGTCACTCGTTTATTAAACACTCGCTCCGCTCGTGTCAAATAAACTCGAGAGTCAAATGTCGTTTACCGCACTTGTTACGTATTATACTATTTAATTACCGGTATTGGGTTATAAATTTAAATGTAACAAGGGAGACGCATTTAAATCCAATTGGTCATTAAGTAATAAATTCGAATGTATCATTTTGTTAATCTCCATAACTTCCAAAATATGTAGTTTTTTGTTTTTTGAATGATTATGTAATATATCAAAGTTATCGTCAAAGTTGTGCATTTCTTAATTTAAATAAATGGCATAGTTAGACCTTTTATTTTTATAAGTCATTTTATGTTCTTCAATGCGTTTCTTAAATGCTCTACCTGTTTCTCCGATATAAATTTTGGGACATGATGGACATTTCAACTTGTTTTTTAGAAACTGTCCTATGGCGTTTTCAGTTTTAAAAACAATATTAAGACTAAATTTAGATAGATGCTTCGAAATTTTCTTGCTAGGTTCTCCTATGTATTTTATTGTTTTATAAATTTTGAGTTCCGTGTTTAATATGGAATAGATAGAGTTCAGAGTTATTTGAAACTGCTTTTAGATTATAATCTTATCCATTGTTAAAAGCTATTTGTTTTATAATATTTAATTCTTTTTCAAAATTTTCTGTAGAAAGTGGTGCATTACGTGGTCTGTGGATGAAAGCATGTACGTAAGGGTGATTTGAGTTATTGTGTATTATTGTGTCCGTGTGCGAGGGGTTATGGTAAATGGAAAAATCTAATTTGTTCTCTAGTTTAGTTATAGTTAAGTCCAGAAAGTTAAGAGAGTTATTTAGTTTTGTCTCTATGGTAAATTTTATGCTGTTATATATGAAGTTACTATGATTCAAAAAGGACTGCAGCAAAAACATCATTGTAGGTTTCCCATAATTAATACTTCTTCAGCAATGTAAAATTGACCATTAATATCAAAATAATTTTGGTCTAAACAAACTATTAAACTATCTAGCAAGTCTTGTTTTATGTCTTGTCTCTGAGTGAGAATATTGTCTGTTATGTTTATTACGTTAACTGTTGGAATGCTAGGAAATAGGTTTTGAACGTCAAATGAAACTAAAATTGCCTTAGCAAGAATTTTAATGTCTTTAACCTTGTTAATTAGTTCGAATAAATTTTTGATAACATATGTTGAGTTCAAAATTATGTGAATTTCTTTTTAATTTTGTGTATCTTAAACATGCCGGACATTTCAGTCAATGTGACAACAGGGCGTTGTACGCCAAACCGGCAAGGTCTACGTTTCTGCTAGGCTAGTAACAATTTTGTAGCGTTACGGGGTAGACGTTCACGGCATGGGTCGCGACGTCGCCGCAAAGTGAGATACAGTCCATTTATAGAAAAGAAAAATTCAATAAATATTAAGTGATTGAGGAAACGCTTGTATTATTGAAGAAACATAGTGGTCCATCGAACGGGATTGTGATCCATCGAGTGGAGAGTTTTCAATTGCGAGAATTATTGAGTGTTCCGCAAAAGTGAAAAACGAGGAAATTGCGAAGTACAGATTGTTGGATCATCTGTATTCGCAAAGAAAATTGTGTGAAAATTGTGAGGGAAACGTTTACGAGTCCGTAAACGAACGCCGGCAAGCAAAAAAGCGCAGCTGAGACAAGGCGGAGCGGCGCGGTGCACAAAGCATTGTTTGAAGGTCGTCGTTGCGGTGCCGTGGAGTTTATCGGCGAGCGCGGCGCGGCGTTGGAAATTGTACGTGCGGGCCGTACGATCACGCAGCGTTGCTACGACGCGACGGAAGACGAGACAGTAAGGGCCGGACTTA